CCATTGTAAACTGAACAGCATCTGTACTCGACTGTTGTTGTATGGTGAAAGCAGCCAGGAACAATATGTAAATGAATGAGCATGGCTTGTTCCAATAAAACTTTATTTAAAAAAAAATCAGGTGGGCGGTGGCATGCACCTGTAATCCCAGCTATTCTGATGGCTGAGGCACAAGAATCACTTGAACCTGAGAGGCAGAGGTTGCAGTGAGCTAAGATTGCGCCACTGCAGTCCAGCCTGGGCAACAGGAGCGAGACTCTGTCTCTAAATAAATAAATCAGCCAGATTTGCTGATTACTGGTCTGCTGGAAGACAGGCTGGGTTCCGAAGCCTCCTTCACTGAGTCCCTACAGGACCCTGTTCAAGTCGCTTCCCTGGCCTGAGTTATCCTTTCTGTAAATCGCGAGGCTGATTCCCTGCTCTAAACTACCCTTTGGGGTTGCCAGGAGGTCAGATGAGCTCATCACAGAGGGAGCCCAGAGGGAGAAAAGAGCAGGATTAAGAGCCTCTTGAGGTTCTCCGAAGCAGAGCAGATTGCTTTTTCTGCCTAGATCTGGAGAGAGAAAGCCATTGACCTCAAGTCACCCAATGCATCCATGGGCACAGAGTCCCAGGGGCATCCCATAGGGAGACAGGACCCACAGGCTTGGCAGCAGATCCTGGTCCTTGCCACCCTGAGTCTTTCCCCAACCCCACCTGTGGAGACACAACAACAGTGGAAGACAGACTGGAAAAATGAGTCTCTAATAGGCTGTTCCTTTGAGCCCCCGGCCAGAAGCTATTTGGGTCTGCTTTAATGACTGAGCAGCCAGTGCCCAGGGTAGGGACGTGTTGTCTCTGACCTCTAGCTCTCTGCTCAGTCAGGCACGGCTTTCCTTCCTGTTCCCGGGTGGGCTTATCCCACAAGGCCTGACTCAGGCTGTGTCGCATCTGGGGTTCGCTGTGTCGATGACTCCAGTGTCAATCACTTGGGGAAGAGGCAGGTCTTCAGAGAGTAAAGTGTACTAAAGCCAAACCCAAGGCAAGCAGAGGTGGGCCGTTCTTCTCTTCCCTGTGCCTCTTGCCCTCGGAACTGGTCTTCCGAAGCTAGAGGTGCGTGAGGATAATAATTACAAAGTAGCAGCTAACATTTGAGACTCACCATGTGCCAGGGCCTGCCTTGAGTGCTTTACACGTATTCATTTAATCCTCACAACAACCTTAGTAGGCACTATTATTCTCCCCATCATACAGATGAAGAAACAGGGACCCAGAGAGGTTAAGATACTTGCCTGAGGTCACACTGCTCGGGAGTGGTGACGATCCGCATGTTGAAGACTACAGATGGGGATGCCTTACTGGTCCAAAACGGGTCCATATGGACAAGTGGGGGCTCACGTGGGGTAAGACCCAGTGAAAACTTGCCTAAACTATCAAGGGGATTTAATGGCTCACAAAATTGAGACGTTCGGTGGAGTGCTAGCTTCGGGGCCAGCTGAGGCCAAGGCTCAAATGCTGCCCTCAAAAAGCACACACTCACTGTCTTTCAGCCCTTTACTGTGCTGCTTTCATTCTCAGGCCGACTCCTCCCCACGTGGAGGGAAAGATGGCTGCAGGCCTCCATTTGAGCAACTCCAGATGCTCCAGCAGAATTCTTTCCCACCAGTTCCCACAGAAACCTCAGGGCTTACTCTCATTGGGCCACGTGCTCATCCCTGAACCAATTGGGGTAGCCAGGAGGCGGGACCATGGTGATTGGATAAGACTGGGTCACATGGCCACCCTGGGATAGGTGCCCGCCCCACTTGAGGTCTGGGGTGGGAGGGCGACCCCTATGGGAAGAAGAAGGAAACAGAGCTGGATAGACAAGGTCAACGGCTGTTTAATCCGAGGCTTTGGAGGAAACATGCATTCTTCACTCAGAGGAGCGAGAGAGGGAAGTTGGACTTGGCCTTTAGGGTCTGCAATCCATCCTCGGCCCCACCACGGACCTCTGTGACACTTGTTGCTTTGGCACAGACTGGAACTTTGACCTGAGTCTTCTCTGCCTACCTTCCCAAACCTATGCCTTCCCCACCCCACCTCCCTGCCTACTGACCGCCTTCACATTGCCTGGGGGCACGTGGGCCCTGTTGCCAACTGCTGGCCCCCTGCTTGGCCTATTGTTCCAGTTCCCTAGTTGCCCTGCTCCCACCTCCAGCCTGGTCTTTTCCAATCCATGCTATTCATTGGCAACACGATCTCTAGTCCAGCAGAGCCTTAGCTCAGAAGCCTCCAGCCACTCCTTTGTGTCAAAAGAGAAAACAAGCTGCTTAGTCCCATGCCTGGTATTCCTCTGGTGTCCTAGGAGATCCCCTGACTTCTGCCCATCGGTATGTCTGTATCCCCTAATTCCAAACTGTGGTCGGCACCGTAATGCAGTGGGGCTCACTTACCTGCCTGGGGTTAAGGGTCAAGTTTGAGTCATTGCTGTCCAGGGCCCAGCACAGCTCAACCAATGCCTGCAAAGCCCACGTTTCTAGCTCCTGGGCATGACTGCTCCTCCAGGAAGGGAGGTGGGAGAGGAAATTAAGCCGCTTCAGTGAGAGACACTGAGGAAGTTACATGGAAAAAACAGAACAGTGATCTAGGCGGGTGGAGACATGGGAGGTGGGGGAAAGGGCAGGAGGGAGGAGGGAGGGACGTTGATCCAGAGAGCGAGAGCTGGGAACAGACTCGCAGAGGGGACAGAAAGGAAGCGCGGGAACATGTGCCAGCTCAGGCATTTTTTTTCCTTAAGCAAACAAGGCCTGTATGATTTGTGTTTTGTCAAGCTGAACTTTCCATATCAGGAGTTTATTTAGCTGAGCAACCAGTTCTGTTAAAAACACTGGAACATGTTAGAAAGGAGCGGGTTAGGGAGGAGAGCCAGATAGAACAAACAGGAGAGAGCATCTGCCTGCAGGCCAGGCCAGGCGCAATGCAGCTTGGCCCAGACCGCTGACTTGACACTCCCACCCCTGCCAGCTCCCTTTAGGGGCTGAACCAGGGCTGGGTGAAGCTGGATAGAGGTGGGGAAGTCAACTTGGGGCAGAGTCTGGGCCAAGAGGAACAGGGCCCTGGGAAAGGTCTGGTTCTAGCCCTACCATATAAGTCACTAGAGGCCATTAGGACAAGTCAAGCCAAGGTTGCAGTTCACTCATGCACTGATGCCCCTGAGACCCTACCACAAGCCAGAGTCTTCTCAGACAGGGAAACTGAAAACATGTCCCTGCTGGAACCCAGGCCTTGGGATACAGGGATCAGGTGTGGCTTTTTACTTATTTATTTATTTTTTTGAGATAGAGTCTTACTCTGTTGTCCAGGCTAGAGTGCAGTGGTGTGATCTCAGCTCATTGCCACCTCCACCTCCCAGGCTCAAGTGATTCTCCTGCCCCTGCCTCCCAAATAGCTGGGATTACAGGTGCATGCCACCATGCCTGGCTAATTTTTGTATTTTTAGTAGATAGGGTTTCATCATGTTGGCCAGGCTGGTCTCTAACTCCTGACCTCACGTGATCCACTCTTCTTGTAATCAAAGTGCTGGTATTACAGGCGTGAGCCACTGCGCCTGGCTTCAGGTGTGGCTTTTAACCTGGGGTCCTGACCGGGCATGAGAGCCCCGCAAGGGACTGTCCTGCTGCTTCCTCGCCTGCACAAGGTGGCTGACAATACCCGACCACAGAAAGGAGCGACTAGTGGCTTGCCTGTCATCCAGCTGGTGCTTAATAATGGCAGCTCTCATGACTGTGGAAGGCAACAATTCCTGTAGGCAAGGAACTCATGTGTCTTGCAGAATCAGGGCCACATGGCTGTGCAGGAGAGGCTGGAGCAGCCAGCGAGGGACACCATCACCATCAATCTGACTTGACTCCTATTTACAACGCAACAAAACCACAAGGTATTCAGGATTTGAAATTTTTATTTTCTGAAATGAAACCATTGTACATTGTACAAACCATATCTACTGATGGAATAAATAAGTGAAAAATTATACTGCTGTACAACACACCAAAAAAAAAAAAATCTTGGGGGGGAAAATTAGGTACGGTGAAAAAAGGTCTTTACCCCTCTAACCAGGTCCTCAGTGATAATGAACATTCCAAACCATGACACCGTTTGCTAATGGGAGGTCACCGCCCTAGAGGAATCGGCCCACAGCCTTCCGGGTTGTGGGTATAAGTGCCAGCACTTGTGGAATGTGTAGCCGCAGCTTCCCCGACTTCAAGTTTTGAGGGGAATTAGGTTTGCCCTGGGAGCCCTTGAGGCCACGGGGCCTGATGTCCACGGAAGGCTTTTGCTGGGGATCCCCCGCCCCTGGCTCGAAGCTGAAAGGTCTTAGATTCTGTGGTGGGGGGAGGGCGAGGGGTGTAGGGTGGGTGGGGGGCAGCGGCTCAGAGGAGCGGCTGCGCCAGGGAAGGAAGCACATGGGATTTTTGCAGTCTCATCATTCTGCGTGGAAGGCCTTCTTGGCCAGCGTGGAGTGCAGGGCTGCTGGCGCTTTGCCTGGCGTGGCCGTGGCGGGGCCCAGCTGGTCCCGATCGCCGGCCCATTCCTACCTTCAGGCACTTCAGAGAAAAACTAGTGACAGCCTCCGGACGGTGGACGTCGTCTTGAGTCCTCACCTGCGCCAACTCCCCTTGCCTGTCCAGAGAGGCCGTGGCGAGCGGCAGGGCCACCTATGCCTGTTTCTGTGGATGTGTCTGTTTCATTCTCCTTCAGCTGTCTTGGTTGTAGCCTCTCGTTTCCCAAAAAAGAAAAGGAAATAAATATCCAAATTCATCTGTCACCAAGATGGAGTTTCGCTGCAAAGAAAAACGTGACTCTATGGGATCTGGAGGTCACGTCGCCTTGAGATGCGTGGAGAGGAACCGCGTCAGGTACGCAGTTCTCAACAAAACTGACTGCCTACGGGGCAAGAGTGATAAGTACAGGAATTTTTTTTTAATTTTTTAAGACAGAAACCTTTCGGCATTGCTAACTTCAACATTAAGATTTTCAAAGTTGTTGTTGTTTTTTTTCCCTTATTTCAGGAGACATTTTGCATGAGGTATTTGAAATTCAGGAACATTTTGATTCTTCTTGAAGTGCAGGAAATAGACAGGATCCCTTAGAAAAAATAAGAGCCTCACCCTCAGAAACTCTTAGAAAATGGAATCCAGCAGACACTTCCCATGATGGTCAGGAGAAAGATCCACACATCAAAGGTGGTACCTGAATATGCACCAATTAGCCCCAGAAAACAAACCCCGCGAACCCGACCCCCCCCCCCCCCAGTAACACACAACTCAAAGGGAGTCAGAACTCCAGTGCAGTAAAGAAAGCTTAGGAAAAGGTTTAAGGTCTGAGGAGTCCATATATTCATTAAGAGCAAACCAGGCCTCAGAACCAAACGATTAGGCAGTTTGTCCTCGGGGCGTCCCGTTCAGTGAGAGGAAGCCGTTCCAGCGCACGTGCGGGAGGCGAGGGAGGGGAGACTGCACCTCTCCTTTCTGGAGGGTGTGCAAATCTTTCCAATTCCTCGACGCCTTGTTCGTGGCCTTCAAGGCCCAGCCATCAAGGCCTGCTCCCCGGAGGGACCGGCGGCACGTTCTGGGGATGAGACATGGTCCAGCTGTTGGCTCTGAGAGTCAGAACAGCCTACAAATGGGAAAGCACGTGGATTCTGACCGCTGCGATCCTGTCTCTCGGGGCGTGGGCTGGGGCATTGGGGGAGGCGGAGGGCAGCAGGTGACTGTGGATTTGAAATCCAAGCGACGTCCTATGAGAGAAAGTTCAGCACCAGCTAATCCTGCCGCCAGCTCCCAGCCTCCCTGGCGCACGCAGTGCCTTCAGGAGACAGCCTGCAGTCAGCCAGAGAAGCCATTTTGTATCCAGAGGTCTGGGAGAAAGCAGTGATGGGGTGGTGGGGGGGGGGTGAGGGCAAGAGAGAGGAAGTGCCAGAAAATTCCAAGGGCTTTGCATGTCCATCTAGGCCATGGTGGGCTCAGAGATGCCCAGCCCTAAAGGCCCCAAGGAAGGGAGGGTACAGCAGGCGCCCAGCCAGGACCAAGGAGCAGAGCCCTTGGGGACTATGCCTGGCACCTGCGCGTCCTTGGGCCCTGGTGCCTGATGCTTGGGGCGTGCGTAAGCTCCCGTGCACCTGAAAACCAGGTGGGCTAAGGAGCTCCCCTCCTCCACCCTGCCTGCTCCAATCAAGTCCTGGGGCAGGAAGGAGAGCGGTGAGAAGGATGGCAGCTGCCGCCCGAACCAAACCACGAGGGCACTTTGCAGAGGGGAGACGCAAAAGCCACCAGGATACATGCCAGAAGTCACCTCAAGGGCACAAGGCACAAAAAAAGAAAGCGGAAGGAATCGGTTGAACAGTGAAAAGCCCCGCCGGAAAGCGTTCCTGATCGGTACCACCCTCCAATAGCTTACATCGTTACATAGAGAAGTGGGAAAAAGTACAGCAGCAACACAAATGGAATCCTGGCTTCCGAGACAGTGTGCAGACACTCCTGAGCAGCCGCCCCGCCTGCCTCCCCAAGGACAGTCCCTTAAAGGTTTGAGTGTTTTGCTTCACAGCAGAGAGTTCTTCAGTGTCTGAGAAGTTCCGCCGTTCTGGGTCTTCTTGGATTTGCACTTGGTAAACTTGAAACGTTAGCGGTTCTGTTCGCACCCAAGAGGAATCGCTCGGGCAAAGTTGCTCTAGAATTAATTGCTGATGTACCTTCCATGAAACATGGATCGGAGGCTTTCAAGCGTCGTCTACATCTCTTCGGAGTTTTGTTGAGAGGCCTCTAGTTTCATCTTTTTAGAGGGTGGCACTCCTTCCAGATCCTTGGGGAGAGAAAAGGGGAACACAGGTTAACATGCCAGGAGAGCAAGTGAGGCCGGGTGTGAGGCGGAAGGTCAGCCCAGGAAGGAACCGAGGGCGTGCGGCTTTGTGGTTCAGACCAGCAGTTCTAGACCCGAGGCCCAAGCATGGACTCTAGAGGGTTCGAGGACCTGTGAAGACCCTCACACCTGAACTCCTCCTGGAGCTAGGGAGCCCAGTGTCCCCTGGCCCCTGCCTGGCCCTACCACATGCCAATCGCTGGTAAGCCAGGAGCGTTTCCTACATTGCTGCCTGGGACTCCAGGCCCTTCCACTCATTCAGACTGGACCAGGAGTTCCTGTCATCAATCTTCCCATCTGTGATTAACTGCTAGGGTGATTATAGTTTCAAGTTCACCTTTCCGAGTTCATTTATTGTCGTTGAGATGGAGTGTCGCTCCGTCACCCAGGCTGCAGTGCTGTGGCGTGATACTGGCTCACTGTAACGTCCGCCTACTGGGTTCAAGTGACTTTCCTTCCTCAGCCTCCCAAGAAGTTGGGATTAGAGGCATGCGCCACCACACCTGGCTAATGTTTTGTATTTTTAGCAGAGATGGGGTTTCACCATGTTGGCCAGACTGGTCTCAAGCGCCTGGCCTCAGGTGATCTGCCCGCCTCGGCCTCCCAGATTGCTGGGATTACAGGCATGAGCCACTGTGCCGGCTTTTTCAACTTGTTTTCACACTTTTTTTTAGAGACAGAGTCTTGCTTTGCTGCTCAGGCTGGGCTACAGTAGCCATCATAGCTGACTGCAGCCTCAACTTCCTGGGCTCAACAGATCCTCCCGCCTCCACCTCCTAAGCCGCTAGGACTACACGCATGTGCCACTATGCCCAGCTAATTTGTTCAAAAAGTTTTTTGTAAAGATGAAGTCTTGCTATGTTGCTCAGGCTGGTCTCAAACGCTTGGGCTCGAGCAATCCTCCTACCTCAGCCTCCCAAACTGCTGGGATTATAGGTGTGAGGCATGGTGCCTGGCAATCTCTCCAAGTTCTAAGGCTGTATCTCAAAGGCACAGACCCACTCTGCCACGCAGACCCCTGCTCCTCCAGGGCTGGGCACGATGCCTGGCCTGGACTCTCAGCATCTGCTGGGTATACACGTGTGTGTGTGTGTTATTCTGGGGGAAAGGGTCTGTAGATGTCACTGAATTCCCGAGAAACCCAGGACCCCAAGAAAGGTTTAACACTCACTCATCCATCATACATCGTCTTGGCATCTTGAACCTAACCTGTCACCTGAGACCAAACTCCTGGCCGCAGCCATCCTAACTGGTGCTCCCCATAAGCCTGGGAGAAAGCCCCAGGCCTGGACAGCCCCCTGAAGCCCCTCCCCACCTTCCCCACCTGCACTCCCCTGACCTCTGGCCTGGCTGATGCCGCAGCCTCCTTGTGGCCAATGGCATGGCCCCAGCGACCTTCTTCCAACAGAAACCACACGCAAAATACAAAGCACTCCACCACTTTGCTACTGACTTCTGAACAAACCCAGCTCCTTGCCAGGACCGAGAAGGCCCTAGTGACCAGCCTGGCCCACTTCTTCCTGCATCTGGCCAGTCTTCCTCCCCCATCAGGTTCTCACCTCCCTGGCCACCCCGGCCCCTCTTCTGTTCTTCAGGCTGGCTCCTGTCTTGAGGTCTGTGCACCTTGGTCTGCCCCTGCCTGGAGAGCCCACCGTCCCAGCCCTGGGCACTCCTTTATGTTGGCACTGCTGACGCCAGCTACAGCGCCCTCTACCCACGGCCTGTTCTGCTTTTTCTTTTTTTTTTTGAGATGGAGTCTGGCTCTTGTCACCCAGGCTGGAGTGCAATGGCGCGATCTCGGCTCACCACAACCTCCGCCTCCAGGGTTCAAACGATTCTCCTGCTTCAGCCTCCTGAGTAGCTGGGATTACAGGCGCCCGCCATCATGCCTGGGTAGTTTTTGTATTTTTAGTAGAGATGGGGTTTTTCCATGTTGGCCAGTCTGGTCTAGGACTCCTGACCTTGTGATCTGACATCAGTACAGGCTTGAGCCACCGCGCCTGGCCCCTGTTCTGCTTTTTCATGTCACCCTGTTCCACTCTCTTATGGCACTTAGTGGGACTCTGTGACTTGCTTGTGTCTGCTTATCCTGGTCCTACTGTCAGCCCCATCATGGCAGCGAGGGACTAGGTACAGCCCCTGCACAGTGGGCGCTCAGAGAAAAATGTTGCAGGGGAGTAGGACGTGCGATGGACTTGCAGATATGGTTATGTAAGCCCCTTCCGGGGGACGCTGGGAGCAGGGACCACAGAGAGTCAGCAGGGCTGCCTGTCCGTACTCTCTCTCCTTTTTTCTGTATGTGTGTGTGTATGTATGTATGTATGTATGTATGTATGTATTTAGAGACAGAGTCTAGCTCTGTTGCCAGGCTTGAATGCTGTGGCATGATCTCGGCTCACTGCAACTTCCACCTCCTGGGTTCAAGTGATTTTCCTGCCTCAGCGTCCCGAGTAGCTGTGATTACAGGTGCACACCACCACATCCAGCTAATTTTTATATTTTTAGTAGAGACGGGGTTTCACTATGTTGGCCAGGATGGTCTCGATCTCCTGACCTTGTGACCCAACCATCTGGGCCTCCCAAAGTACTGGGATTACAGGTGCGAGCCATCACACCCGGACCTGTATTTATTTTTGAAACAGGGTCTTACTCTGTCACTCAGGCTGGAGTACAGTGGTATGATCATAGCTCACTGCAGCCTTAACTCTCAGGCTCAAGCGATCCGCCCACCTTAGCTTCCAGAGTAGCTGGGACTATAGGCATGCACCACCATACCTGGCTAATTTTCTTTCTTTTTTTGGAGAGATGGGGGACTTGCTATGTTGCCCAGGCTGGCCTCAAACTCTTGGCCTCAACTGATCCACCTGCCTCAGCCTCCCAAAGCGCTAGGCTTACAAATGCGAGCCACTGCGCCTGGCCAGAAATGTATTGCTTGAAATGTCTGGCTGTCTGCTTTACTGGAATACATCTTCCATCTCACTCACACACGTAGCTCCATAGGACAGTATATGTGTCTGTGAAAATGATGAAGAGGCCCAATTTCAGGTCTGGGTCTCCAGGAAGCAAGAGTAGGGGTGGTGGGGGCAATGTGAGATTGGGGGACTCCTGGCATTTCCAGGCACTGTGGGGGAACACTGGATACTCTCAGGGTGTGGGTCAAAGTTTCAAGCTGAGCTTTTCTCCACTGAGATCAAGAGGCCCAGAGATCCCAGCTGACAACATTGGTCTTCCTATAAATCACCAGGCTTTGGCTTCTACTGTTTTTAACCAGATGGGCTCATGCTACGCCTGCGGTTCTGCAGCTTGCTTTTCTCACTGCACACTGCAAGAATGTTTATCATAACCTGGAAGGCCCAACCATGCTCTGTCTCATACAAGACCCCAGATTTCTCTTTTCCTTTTGAGACAAAGTTTCGCTCTTCTTGCCCAGGCTGGAGTGCAGTGATGCGATCTTGGCTCACGGCAACCTCTGCTGCCTGGGTTCAAGCCATTCTTCTGCCTCAGCCTCCCAAGTAGCTGGGATTACAGGTGTGCTACAACTGGCTAATTCTGTATTTTTAGTAGAGATGGGGTTTCTACATGTGGGTCAGGCTGGTCTCGAACTCCTAACCTCAGGTGATCCACCTGCCTTAGCCTCCCAAAATGCCAGCATAATAGGCGTGAGCCACCGTGCCCGGCGACCCCGGATTCCTCTAAACAACTCCTTTGTACTAAGCCATGTGGAGAGGGTTCCGCAGGGTGAGTTCTTAGAAAGGGAGCTGCCGATCAAAGGGTTTAAAGATTTTGAAGTGGCTGGGCGTGGTGGCTCAGGCCTGTAATCCCAGCACTTTGGGAGGCTGAGGTGGATGGCTCATTTGAGGTCAGGATTTGACAGCAGCCTGGCCAACATGGTGAAACCCCATCTCTACTAAAACTGCAAAAATCAGCCAGGCATAGGGGTAGGCACCTGTAATCCCAGCTACTTGGGAGGCTGAGGCAGGAGATTCACTTGAACCCAGGAGATGGAGGTTGCAGTGAACTGAGATCATGGTACTGCATTCCAGCCTGGGTGACAGAGTGAGACTCTGTCTCAAAAAAACAAGAGTCTAGAGGATTTTTGTTTGTTTGTTTTTTTGAGACAGAGCGCTGCTCTGTCATCCCAGGCTGGAGCGCAGTGGCACAATTTTGGCTCACTGTAACCTCTGCCTCCCAGGCTCAAATGATTCTCCTGCCTCAGCCTCC